TCATTTGTCTCCCTTACCGGTGTCATAGGCTCAGTGGGACACGGTGAGGTGAGTACCCAGTCCACCTCAGCCAAGATGAAGGCCAGGTCAATCTTTTTCTTTCACTCCGTGTAGTTGTCATCTTTGAGAGTGGGGATCTCTTTGATACAACCCATCAAGTTATATCCGCATGAAAACACAATTCATATGGAGTGAGAACATAAATATAATAATAACAATTGCATGCCTTATTTCCAACGTTGTTCAAAATTAAAACATACAATTGTTCTCTACACTGATTCTATATCATCGTTGGGCAAAAATAGAATTAATCCATGACAAAACATCATAATATTGCCATTAATCAACGTTGGTCAGAATAATAACAATATTATAATAAACTAAAAATATATCTATTTTTTAAAATTAAATTCTATCGTTGGTACGAATTTAATAATAAAAATAACAACTTTAAATACGCAACAGAAAATTAATTCAATTTAATGAATTTTACCCACAGGAAAATTCTCTTTTCTATTTACTTTAAGCCATTTATCTATTTTCCAGGAAATAAATATTTACTGGAAAAACAAAAACAAAAAATTGATTCAAAATTAATACTGTTCTTCAGCCCAGCCGGCAAAACGGCCCGGCCCACTCTGATTGCGCGCGCGCTGTGCTTCCCAGGCCGCAACCTGGGCCTGGGCCGCCAAAGCCGTGCGGCCGCGCACGCCCGCCTAGGCCGATCGCTGGCCCGATCGATCTGCACCGTCCATCTTAATCCAACGGCCACGCGTGCGTTTCGCTCGAAATAAAAGCCGACGCCGCGCGCCCCCGGGGAAAACCCTAATCCATTCTCTGCTGCCCTTTCTCTCTCTTCGCCTCTCTTCTCAGCGCAACGAGCAACAACCGAGCGATGACGAGCACGAAGATGGCGCTGTCGCCGGTCCCCTCGCCGGCGTGCGCACTCCCCAATGGGTGAGCACGCCGCCGTCGAGCGGTCTGGGCGGCGGTGCCCTGATCCCCTCGAAAACCCTAGATCTAACCCGGCCACTTCTCCTCCTCTTCTGTCTCGGTCTCGCGACGGTGGCATCGTCGCCGGCCCTCTCGCCGGCGCGCGCGCTCCCCAGCGGGTGAGCGCGCCGCCGGCGAGCGGCCTGGCCACGGCGCCCTTTACCCGAGCATCCGCCCGCGCGCCGACGAGGCGGCAACACGGTGCGACGGCGAGGTAGGCCTCTTCCCCTTCCCCTTTTCTTTTTCTTTGATTTTCCTTTCTTCTTTTCTCGGATCTATCCGATTTAGGGTTGGGGATGGGGTTAGGATCGAGATTAGGGTTTGGTTAGGGTTAGGGTTTCACTGTTGTTCTTCCCCGTGACTGATTCGTGGGTTAGGTTTCGGCTTTGAGATCCGAGACCCTTTCTTTTCTCTGTTCTTCACCCGATTAGGGTTAGGGTTAAGTGACCCTCTTCTTTTTTCAGATCTGAACGGATCTACTCTGTCTTATCGTTCACCCGTTCTAGATCTAAAAACCCTAGAAAAACTTAGCTCTGGTACCATTGTTAATCTATTCTAATCACATGGTCATAGATCTAGCCGGGTACATCTTGTAAATTGATAGCATGTCCTAATACATGAACTAGACAGAGATTAGAGGGAGGAGTAGTGCTAGGTTACCGACAATCGTAGGCCTTGATCCAGAGGCGTTTGCCATGGGCGTTGCGTTGGTGTCTGCGCTAGGGCAGCGACGGTCGGTGAAGACGGTGTCGGTGATGGGCGGTGGCGACCGGTGGTGAAGACCGGTGGCGGCGCAGTGCAGTGGTGGAGGTGCTTCTCGTCACTGGCTGCGCCCCTCTCTGATCGGGTTAGGGTTTGTCAGTGGGGAGCTCGGCTCAGGCGAACCTCGTCCCCAGAGTCGTCGGCCCTCACCTCTATTTATTGCGTAGTGTGACAAGGGCCCTTCAGCCATAGTGGACTGGGCGCCCCCGATCAGGGCGCGGATCAAAGGTCCAACTGGAAAAAGGATTATCAACAGTGGCGCGTCATTTGCCGGATGGTAACAACTTTGACATCGACACACATACATAATTTCTTCTGTTTAGATTCTGCAGAAAAAGACAGCCATGGCAAATTGAAACATGAAACCAAATAGGCCAGGCCATCGACTGATGGGGAACGGTAACCATTCAGTCAATGACTTTTGCTTCGGACCTCTGGTTTATTGCTGCTTTCACCAAGCTGAAAACCTAGCACCAACTCCCCTAAAAGAAAACAAAAAATTGGCACCGGGTATCTCTTTAGAAGCCAACTTTGCTTGTTTTCTGTTTTCATGTTCACTTCAACTCTAGCCCCATGTAATGTGTCTTAGCTATTTATCTCAGATCAAGTTTATTTGATTTCTTTGTGTTACTGATTCGCGATCTCGATTTTGCTATACAGATAGTTGGTTCGGAAATAGTGCGTGAAGCTGATGGTCTTGCCATAATGTAAATCTGTCACACGAGAATAGGGACAAGGTCTGTCTTTTACTGGAAGTTGCAATTTGTTTTTTGTAATGTACCTTTTTTTTACTATGTTGTACAACAATCACCAAAAAATAGAGAAGCGAGGTTTAAGCATTTTGTAGAAAAAAACTTATTGTCCAGTTTCTTCAGTGTTTAATTTAATCAGGTTGGATTCATGCAGCAACTTTCCTGCAGTAGCCATGGTTGTAAACTATACTCTGTTAAGTTAAGACGACTAGTAAATTGCCATTACCGTTTCGGTTCTGCTTCGCTGTCCTTGTGCAGACCCAAAAGCTATTGTCAGTTTATCATCACAACAATCTTAAGGTAATTCATAGAACTAAATAATAAGGGAAGAATGGGAATTAATCTGAAAATGCAAATATGACGATTTTAGGTCCTTTCAAAAAAAATATGATGATTTTAGGCTAAAATGTGGTAGTCGACTGCATGTAAAATTTCTAGAAGAAACCATAATTTTCAAACTGTTACTTATTATGCTGATTTTCGCATGTACTAGATTACCCTTCCCTGTGGTGTTGCTTCCATGCTATAGATCAGAAGATAATGGTAGCTTTGTTGTTTCATTGTTACAACTTAACAATTTGATTTGTTTGTTAATAAAGTTTTGCTGCATATGGATTACCTTCGGAGGTAACTTTTGTAAACATCTTTGTTCCTTCTCACAATAAACCTAGCTGTTAACTGTGGTCATTCCTTTGTTAGGCGTTATCAATTAGTAGATCACTGATGGATGCTAGAACCGCTGCCCTCAATGGAAGCAATCATAGCCAACAAATAAAAGATCAAATAGTGCAGACACTTACTGAAGCTGGTGGTCAGGTTGACTATGTTGAGGTAATGTTCTACTATGCCTGATGCCTCCGTGCTGCTCCTGAACAATACTACTGTTCATAGGTCTTCTATTAGTGGTTGAGTTTACTCATCATGGTTTTTCTTCTTACTGTTTTCTTTTAGTACTATATAGTGCTTCTGGATTCCCCCTGGGGAGGGAAACTGCTGAAATCTGCATGACATGTTGCAAATTTATTGCCTCTGGTAGTAGAGTTCAGTACAACAAAACTTTTTTTTTTTTGTTATGAGAACCCAGTGCTTAATCACCTGATATGACGATGACTACTTGTTTTGATTAGGTTATTTTGTTAAAGCATATATAGAACCATCTCTGGCAACATGCTATGGTCAAGTGAATCCATATTTATTGATTCAAATCAAAATCGACTTCTATTTGGTGTTAATGCAGATTGTGGAGCAAGAAAGCTTGGTGCCTGCGGAGAGGATGGACCGTCCTTGTGTAATTTGTGTCGCAGCATGGTTCGGAAAGGTCAGGCTAATTGACAATATCGAAATCCAGTCCACGTCCTCTGATAGACAACTCTGCTGTTTGTCTATCTGCTGAGCCTTGATGAATGGAGATGTAGACACGGATTCTTGTTATGTAACGAGTTATACCGACACGCTTTCTTGTCTCAAATACCTTATGCCTGAATGGCTAGAGTTCTCTGAATAACAAATACTGAGGCTGTGTTTGTGCACTGCTTGCTCTTCTACGCTGTAATGCATATGCTCATCTAGACTTTTACAACAGACTAGTGTATATTAGCCGGTGAACATTGTGGTCCATAATATCTCTCCTCAGCAAGCTCTAACAGCAAGTCCCATGAACGGATTTCTGTTGGAAATGATGGAGGTCCTGCCCCAGTGGAACCGTTGAGTGATGTTTTTGATGAGGCTAAGGAAAGGAAGCTTTTGATGAATCAATAGAATCAGAAAATGGACCCCTGGCACGTTTTGAGGTAGTTTCTTTATTGGAAATTTAGCCTGCCTTTTTTCTTCCGGTGATAAAATTTTGACTGTTTCATTACACATGCAAAATGGTTGCTTCAAACTACTGATGGAATTTTGTGGTGGACCCAAATACTACTAGCATTGAATCTGATCATGTTTTCTCTCATTGGATTATTGCTTTCAGATTCGCTCTGTTAAACACACCAAATCTAAAGCTCTGTTGCGCTGTCTACAAAACTTGGACGCTTGGCCTCTTCAGACTGCAGAGTTGAGCTGAGTACTTTTTTTTTGATTTTTTTTTTTGATTTTTTTTATTTGAGTGGAAGTTGAGCTGAGCCCTTGTTTAGTTGGATCCCAAAATCCAAAAAGTTGCTACAGTACCTGTCACATCGAATGTTTGCGGCCCGTGCATGGAATATTAAATGTAGACGAAAAGAAAAACTAATTGCACAGTTTGGTGGGAAATTGCGAGACGAACGTTTTAAGCCTAATTAGTCAATGTTTGGACACTATTTACCAAATAAAAACGAAGGTGCTACAGTAGCCCCAAAATCTAAAATTCGCGAACTAAACAAGGGCTGAGTACTTGAGTCAGTGCAGGCCTCCCTCCGGTCCTCCACAGAGCTCCAGGTGCAGGGCAGGGCGCCTCCCTCCACAGAAAGGCTGCGGGCTGGTACTGGGCCTTGGCCTGCTAGCAAAGCCCGCAGCAAAATGGAACGGAAGGCCTACCTACCCTGCTCCGCCTCCGCCCCGTGCTTGCGCCGCTGTGGCCGGCCTCCCGAGCTGGAGGGCACTATGGAGGTGCTGCCGGATGACGTCGTCGGAGAGATCCTCCTCCGCTTCCCACCGGCCGACCCCGCGAGCCTCGTCCGCGCCGCACTCGTCTGCAAGCCCTGGTACCCCATCGTCTGCGGCCCCAGCTTCCGCCGCCGATTCATGGAATTCCACCGCGTAGCTCCACTGCTCGGCTTCCTCTGCAACACCTCCAACCCCAACGCCCGATTCGTCCCCACCTCCTCCTTCCGCCCGCCAAACGCCGACGACCTGATCGCGCCCCATGACTGCGAGGGGGTGGTGGAGGAGGAGGTGGTCTGGGACTGGGACTGCGTCGCGCTCGACGCACGCCACGGCCTCGTCCTCCTCTACTTCGTCGTGGGTGAGGACCAGGATGACCTCCTCGTCGTCTGGAACCCAACAACCGCCGAGCGATGGGAGATATTCCCAGTCCCTGACATCTGCGACTGCGACCGCTTCGAGTGGTACGCTACTGTGCTCTCCGCGTCCACTGCCAACGGCCACCTCGACTGCCACGACAACATGCCCTTCGTCGTCGTTCGCGTGGTCACCCAGAGCCACAACCAGCGCAGGTGCTTGCGCGTCTACTCATCGGAGGATGCCTCTTGGAGCGAGCAGACTCTGCTCCCCGAGTGCATTGTAGATAACGCACCCACTGCCCTTTGTGGGGAACACACTCTACTTCATGGCTGATTCTGGCGCAGGGGTTCTTAGTTTTGACTTGGCCACATTGGAAACATCTCAGATTCACCTACCTCCAGCTTCCAAGTGTGCTACTGTGCTCATGGCGATGGAGGATGGTGGTGGTCTGGGATTTGCAAGAGTGGATATGGACGCCAGACTCTCCCTCTGGTCAATGGAGGCGAATCCGAACGGAGACATGGGATGGACACAGACTAGAGTCATTGAGCTTGAGAAGCTGCTTCCTGTCGACGCCGACTCCATCTTTTGTAGTTTCCTTGGCTTTGCGCATGCTGTTGGTGTCTTTTTTGTGGCGACGTATGATGATGGATTATTCAGTTTCAATCTTAAGTCTGGTCGGGTGAGGAAGGTATACGAGGAGGAATGTGATGTATTTGACTACCTCGGTCGTGTTCCCTGTGTTGTTCCCTACACGGGCTTCTGCACTCCAGGTACAACTTTGCTTGGTTTATGATTTGCCAATAACCTACTTGAAAAACATGGATAGTATAATGACGGTATTCAACCCCAGTTGTGCTGTTACCATAATTGTGTTTCTTAACTCATGATAAATTTTGCAGCTTGCATTTTTCATTGATGCGTCGGAATCTGGAATTATGTATGCTGGGGTCTAAATGGTAAGCCTTGTGTGATGTAACAATTAATCGTTTGGTATTTGATTGTTCCCTTAATGCTGCCTACACACTTGTACTGAAAATTATGAGTAAGTTAGAATAGTGTGTATTTGTGTGTGGTGCTCTCCTAATGCTGCCTACGTACTTGTACTGAAAATTGTTAGTATGTTGGAATAATATGCATGAATTCATGGCTATCACATTGTTCTGTATAATTTTAATGTTCTCTGTTACTTTTTCATGCAGCTTGTCACCGCTACCAGCACAAAGAAACCTGACCTCTTCTTTGGTGTGGATCCATTCAAAGAACAAGAACTTGACCGTAGATGTCAAAGGGAACTCAGAGTTAAATGTAAATTTTTCGTTTTTTACATTTTCCAGACAAGGTTCAACTCATCTGATCCATTTGCTGCTGCTTGCATACTATTGAATCAATGAATGGAATGTTTTTGTTATGGCATCTGCTGTCTGCAAATACCTTTATAATCAAATTTAGGCATTAATCATCTGCCACCTGCACAACACATGCACAATTGCACATTGTGCATCGTTATGCAGTATAAATCAAACAAATGAACAGTGTGACCATATGAGAAGGCTAATACAGAAGAATTGCCTTGTTATATTATAAATTCTACTGGTCATGTATAGAGCCATCCCCACCCCTTCCTTTTCGGTTTGGGTGGGTCTGTGGGGTTTTGTTTGTTTTTTTCAGCTTGCTGGGTTTCTTTTTAAATCCAGCAGGTCTTGTACTCCTCTATCTTAATGAAATGATACGCAGATCTCCTGCGTAAAAAAAGGGGCAGACCCAGTGCCGGAGGCTCCCACATGAGTGGGATCTGGGGAAGGGATAAACCGAGACAAGCCTTTCCCCTGCAAAATCTGCGGAGAAGCTGCTTCGAACCCACGACCTGGTGACTCAGCGAGACAGCTCTCACCACTGCACCAGGCCTGCCCTTCACAGATCTCCTGCGTAGTTCGAGAAAAAAAATATTATAAATTCTGAAATACATGAAGTAACTATTTATGTTGTAAACTCAATTTCTTTGTTGTGATATACCTGAGAAATTCTGTGATATTCACTTATAAAGTTATGACTCATCAATGTAGCCACCACACATCTGTATTACACTACTAGGTATTGGCCAGCGTGTCGCTACACGCCATAAATTTGTACTAAAATTGTCTGAGCCCGTGAAAATTAGTTTTTAAAAAATTGCACAGCCAATTGCAAACTGTGTATAACTTTTGTAATACAAAACCTAATTAATTATTCTTTTCTTCTGTCCCATTACCAAAATAAAACATCGTAAAATAGCAACAATAGTCAGATTCTACAATGATCAATGCAAAATAAATAGAATATATGTACCAGTTTCTCTAGATCTCTAGAAAACATGACATTAGTGGCGTCTTAGCATTGGTAATTCTCTGAAGTACTCAAACACGGAGAAAAAAGGACATATTGCTGAATCTTCTGAGCTTGTGAGATACATTCCTTAAAAAAACAAATCAATGTCAACATTACATTAGCTTCTCTCATTAGTCACCAGATTCACTTTATATAGTTACGAGAGGCTTGGCGCCTAAATCTCAAGCATGGACAATCAATCCGGCTGGACATATTGGTTGAATCTCAAGCATGGGCAATCAATCCGGCTGGACATCTTAGTTCTCAACTGCCCATTGATACTTGATCCCCTCTGAAGCTTGCCAATAACAAAACTACCAGAACACTAAGGCTGCATTAAGTGTATCTTTTTTTTTGTGCAGATGAAGAGTTCATGTGAGTGGTCTATATGTCCATTGGATGCATAATTGCTCAGCTCTTCACTATCTTCCCCTTCCCACTGTCTTTGTGCAGCAAAATTTCTATGCAGCAGTAGCACCAGTTACAATACCTGAGAAATCTAGCAAAAATAGCAATGACCTTAGAACAGAAATGAAACAGATATGGCAGGCCTACATAAAACAACACTAACTTATCAGAATGGAGGCTTGCTCACAATAGTTCCGGCATATCTTCGCTAGCTGTTAATTGCTAAGCTATTTAATTTACACATACAGCTGACATTAAGACCAAGAAGAATCCTATATTACTCTCCTTGTCCCACTCAGAAATAGCATTGCTTGGTTGTCCCAAGCTGGGTAAGTAGAGATCGAGTGGGTGTGGATGATGCTGGTGCTTTCTTTAGCATGTAGGTATCTGCTTGTGTCTGGAGTTACAGAGTCGTTGGTCAGTTGATTTGATTCATTGAAAAATGAGTTAATTGCAACCAAATCAAACATCACAGAACCAAAGACCTACTCGATCCAATTTCTTCCTTGCTTTCTATGCTTTGCGGCCCGTGAGTAGAATGTTGACAGCTCCTACCATCTAGAACACATCGTTATGGATTACATGAATGCTTTAATGGTTTACTTTGCATTACTTGAACAAACACCTCGAAGGTGACTGGAGTACGTGTACTTTGGCATTACCTCCCTGCTGCTGGCTTCAGTCTTATAGATTTCAGAAGTTAACTTGAAATTGTTGAGTTACCTAGTCAACAAAGAGGTTCAAAGATCGAAAGATAATATAGCAGAGTTAATAGAGAGACTTTGTAAAGCCAATTTATCATTGATAAATCAGCAAGTCCCCACGGAGAGAAGTGCAAGTTGAGTACCGTATGGAAGGAGGCAGAGCACCATTTTTTCCCTTGACAAACTTGGTATTCATTTTCAGATTATTGGCGATTCCAAGCTCAAGATGGAGGTTGAAGTTTCTATAGTGACAAAAACATAATACATATCGTTATGCATGTGCTCCTTGCCTCCTTCCCTAGGGTAGGGTAGGCTATAGTTGCCAAACGCACCGCTAGGAGAATATCTTCGTGGGACAGTCATCATATATTTCTATCCCTCTCTATCTCCTAATAAAACAAATGAAAAAAAAAGAATTAGATTATTTCATTTCCGTGGGTATCTCCTCCCCACCTGTGGGTCAGTCACCCTTTCTTCTTTAACATCTAGAGACGAACATCGCTCACAATGAGATGAACGGATGTAAACCAACTTAATCGCTTCAAAGCTGAAACGTCAATTGTCCAACGGTTCACGACTGGGATTTCTGGGCCTTGGATTACTGACAGCATACCCTCCGATGAGAGCAGCAGCACTCACCAGCTGAAAGGCATGTCCAGACAGACAGTTCACCAACAGCCAGCTGCTAGTACTTGCCTGTCACTGACCGAGAGGCGAGAGCAGTTGAACAGATGCAATCAACCAACTTTTATATGTCGTTTACACCAAGTCCGGTTGGTGCACCTGCAACCCAAAACCTGCGGTCGGACACAATGTTCCACAAGCCACCATATTATAAATTAACTATAGCTTTTGGCATCCACAGCATCCAAACTGATTAAATAAATCATGAAAGATTATGAAATCAATGAAAGATTCTGGGCTGTACTACAGCGCAAATGCGCACAGCATAACATGAACCAGAAGCCAACACTCCGTGACAGTGCAAAAAGCAGCAGCATTAAGGCAAATGCAAAGGAGGTTCAAGGTACAACAGAGTATAAAATACACACCCGGAGCACCGGCAACTGACATCACCGGCCCTTACTTAGGGCCGCATGCATCTTAACCATTACACATAGTATACAGACAGACACCCATCTTTTGGGGACCCATTCTGCCCAGGTATACCCACTCTACTAAGACATGTAGATAGATAGCAAAACATACACACTCCAACTCAGTTGGTCCAAGATTGGTTTGGTTCTTGACGACGACAGACACAACGCAGTACACTGACAGGCTCACAGCTTGTTTGAGGGGGCCTTCCAAGTACCAGGTCCTTGCTTCCATCCAGGGTAGGGAAAAACAAAACTAGCAGCAGCTTGCGCTTAAATAAACAACATTGCCAATCACCATCCACAAAACATACAAGGATGATTGATATTTACTAGAAGCTCACAAGGCAACCACCTCCCCAACAGCTCAGATGCCTTCCTTCTCGCATAGGTCTAGCAGCGACAAGGTCTGCAAATTTAAATTTCATGAGAATGATTGACATGACAACTGGACAACAACATTATGAGATGACGCATAACGAAAATAAAATAGTCTGGCCCAAATCTAAAAGTAAATTCCATGCCCATAAGTTCTATAATACCAGCATGTCAATGGCACAAGGGTATTGACATGCTTCTTTGAAGGAGGGTTAGCTGAAAACATCATCCATTTTATGCTCAATATCAGACAAACGATGCAAATGACATGCATGGAATTGCACAGGAGACATCGAGAAAGTCACAATTATGCTTTTAAACAAGAGAATGTTGTGCTTCGTGCAGAACAAAGTGTATCCCCGTGCATAGCAACGCTAATAAAGTTTCATTATACAAGGGAGCTTTCATTGTATATTCCTGTGCACAGCAGACTGGATATGCTATATACCTCCGCGATGGAGAGCTCAAGGCGAAACTTTGGGCCATCATAATGGTGCAAAACTGGCCTGAAGGAATCCTCTTCCAACGGCTTGCAAAGCTTCCTAATGCGGATCCTCACCTAACAAGATGAAGGTGTCAGAGCAAAAAAACAATCAAAAGGAAATGAGAAATGAACATAATGACAAATGTTATCAGTACCTGCGCTGGGAATCTAGATTCACCTTTACACTTCTTATCCTCCCATGCAGTGGGATCGATATTAGACCCACCGAAACTGGCAGCCTAAGCAAATTCGTTTGAAAAAACAAAAGATAAAAGTTTCTTAGATTTATACTGAACTGTGGTTGGAATTTAAAACTTCAATATAAAAATACAAATGCGTGGAATCAAAGTAAGACTAAGACATTTTATTTACTGAAACCAACTAAAATGATGAAACAGTGAACTAACAGAAATGGGTAGCAACAAACAGTATAGATCTAGACGTATACGGAGCACACCTACACCGAACTACAAAATAATGTCAACAATTTTTACCAGTACACCAACAGTGCGCAAAACAATACAAGGGATTGAATACAAGCTAAAACCTGACCATTAAAAGACTGCAAGTCATCCACCTAAAATGTAATCAAATCATGCCTCTTCGATGCATTTGCTGTAGTAGCTGGATGTTTCTTTTTAAATATCAACAAACCAACGGTAAGAAGTTACATATAACTATACAAGGACACAAGGGAACGAAAGATCAAGTCAAGCTTAAAATAGTCTATCTAGAATGGTAATAATGGACACATTTTTTTAGTTCAAAGTATCATATACATGGCAAGTGTTCAACAACTTCAGAGAGGCTTTGCAGGAATCAGGAAATCAGATAATCACACACCTCAAATACCCCATGAAGCTGGTGAGTCGTATAGTTATAGAGGAAAAGAGGCAGGCCAGGAGTAATTGCTCGGACTGAATCACGATATCTTGCTGGCAATCCTGCAGAAGAGCAACAGATCTTAAGATACCATTAACAAATTAGTATATACACTGGTATCGAAACTATTTTCAAGAACAGTCATCATTTGATTTCTCAAGAGATACAAGAACATACAACACATACCAAAAAGCTGCCTCTTGAGATCCTCCTGCATGGTATCATTGTTGCAGACAAAGATGTATCCACCAAGGACTTCATTCCTCGGTAGCATTTCACTTGTTGGCAATGTCTTGAAGCGCTTGTCAACCGTAGAATTGCCGTTGGGGCTCCCATTGCTGTTTCCTCCATTATTGTTGCTGCTGCCATTGTTTTTCCCATTGGCGTCTTTCCCGTTAGGGCTATTGGAGTACTTGTTCACCCCAACATTCATCTTGAACGCATTGACATTGACATTGACATTGGCATTGCTCCCCTTGGGGTACATTGGGTTCATGTTATAGGGCATGTTGCGGAAGGGGAGCTTCATGGCGGTGGCGGCCTCGTTCATCTTGACATCATTCATCTTGAGATCCAGGTTCATGAGGCCGAGGTTGATGTGGTCCATCCTGCTGTCGTCGTGATGCTGGTAGGACGTCTTGTCCCACTGCTTGGCGTCAGGGACGGTGTTCATCCTCGCGTAGTCGAGGTCGTTCATCCTCTCGCCCTTGGACCTGGTGATCTCCGCCAGCTTGGACGTCATGAGAGACCACTGGCGGTCCTCCACCACCTTCGGCTGCCCACGGAGCTCGTCCCCCAGATGCCACAGGCTGTCCATGGCTCGTCCAATCTAGGTACCTACTGCAAGAGAGAGAAAGTATCAAGATCAACACGCGCACACATGAGGTCAGTGAAGAGATGGCCCTAGAAACAGGATCCTATACTAGAATGGATGGATCGTAGTAAAAAATGATGCTTTTTTCGCATCTAGAGAACAGATCGCCCATCCGAGCCGGAACCAGGGGCGGACCCAGTGAAGGACATGGGCGTACAGATGCACAGCCGGTGATTTTTTGCGAGGCAATCGAAGTCAGTAGGCGTAATAGATGTAATTAGATCAGATCCGAATACAGATGGTCAATTAGGGTTTGGGTGCCCGGTTTCGCGCAGCAGGAAGGGGAGACGGGGACCAAGACCAAAGGGGTGGGCGTACCTGGTGGTGCTCGTCGCCGGCGAATGGCCCGGAGATGACCTGGGCACCTGGCGTAGGGCGGCAGCGACGGCGGCCCAGTCGTCGCCACCCACGAGGCGAGAGAGAGAGAGGGGCGGAGGCTGGGAGCAATGGAAGGAGAGAAGGCAGGCAGGTTTCCGTGTAGGCCCGCTTAAATGGACCTGCAGCAGGCTGGAGAGACCGAGAAATTTCGAGATTTGATGACGCCGAATTCATGTGTATTTTTATTTGAAATTGTCTTTTATAAAATTTGACACCTACAGCTACAGCATCTCTAACGGTTCACTATCCTCGTTTCGTTTAGAAAGTCATTTAAATAAAATTTGTTCTCTGTATCTTCTCACTTTCAACAAATTATTTATATCTTGTACTCTTTCCGTCCATAAAAAAATACAATTCTCACATTTTGAGAAGTCAAACGGTTTCAACTTTGAATAAAATTATATGAAAATATATTAACACTCGTAAGACAAAATAAGTATCATTAGAATATATTTTCATAATAAATTTATTTCAAGACATAAATAGTAATACTATTTACTATAAGCTTGGTTAAAGTTGGGCTAGCTTGACTGGCACGATTCCCATAATTGTATTTTTTTCTGGACACAGAGAGTACGGGGTAGTTCGGCTGGTAAGAAAACCAGCCGGATTTCACTGTGCACGGATGGTTTTCACTGTTCACTCTCTCACAAATTCCTCCAAATTCCTTCAAATTCCTCCCAGCGAACAGGGCCTACGTATTATAGGGAGCCCTGCTCTCGCTAAAGAAGAAGACAGAGGCCAGAGAGGGCGGTCAACTTTGCTATTTTTCCATTAGAACCCTGTGTGGCCTAGCAAATCTACTATGTAAATAAAAAGGGCAAATGTCTTCTAAATCTAAGGACATATTTGGATGAGACCCTAAAATTCGGATTTTGGATAAAAATAATCTATGTTGTTTCAATTCTATGTCTATGTGTTAAACTATTTTCAAATTTAACACTGTTTAGTTTTTTTTTCAAAACTAACATTTTTTTGCTGCGCCTATTGCGGTGGCGCGGCGAAATCAAGCCGCCACGCCATGCTTGGCGGCGCAGCGAAGGTGGCCACATGGTAGTCAGCCGCGGCGTTGACCGTTGACGTGGCACATCCTGCCGTGTCTTGGATCTTGGCGTGGAGCTGCCGCGCCACCAGTCATGGCATGGCAAGGCCCAACTTAACCGTTGTGCCACAGGTTCCCTCCCTCTGTCTGCCTCCGTGCCGCCTCCCGACTCCCCCGAGCCCGGCGGCCGCCCTGTCCTCCTTTTCTGTCTCCCTCCCTACCTTCCCCAAGCTCCTCTCCGCCCTCGGTCAAGGTAATGATGCTCTTATTAGTTGTTTGAACGGTGGATCAAAGGATTAGAATTGGTAGTTAGGGTTTGCAGGAAAATATTAGTTCATTAGAACAGTGGATTCAAGGACTATGTTTACCATGTTTGATCTAAGGTCAATTTTTGTTCGTAATTGTAGGTTATATTTTCTTAGCTTTAATGCAAATAGTTCTCCTTTACAATAATTTGTGATGTTTTGTTTGGTGTTAAATTATAACCATTTTGTTAGATCCAAAACATGTATCGGGAGAAGTTTTGGCGAAAACGGGGTCATCCTAGAAAATTATACCCCGACGTGTCTAGCAAAGATGCTTCCGTCCCTCCTGACCTCCATGTCCCTAACTATGACTGTGGTTTTCCGGCCGACGTGTTTCAATCGAGACATCCAGACATAGCGGCGCGTTGCTTCTACACATGTAGTCATTTTAATGTAAGTAATTCTTTTCATACCTTTTTTTCTTCATTTGTGTGAGTAGGTTACTAATATTTTGTTGGAATCTTGTTGTGTAGGCTCATGAGAGGTGTTTTTTCTTTCAATGAATCGACGATCCAGACAAGTTTGATCTAAGGTACCTCCTTTTCGACGATTGGTGGAGAGGGGGAGACACCGACGTGAGCACTTCTGGCGATGGGTTCCACCTTCCCCTAACCCCCTACCAATGACGGTTAAGGAGAAGCACCTAGCCATAGTTAGATGACTCAAGGAACCTCCTCTATGCGACTACGGAGATCGAGCTGTGATAAACCCTGAGAATACGTTTGAGTTTGTGTGTCCCAACAAGCACAAAGTAAGTGGAAAGTGTATCTATTTAAATGTTTAGCTCTATGTGTGCGTGTATTAATGTCTCCTCTTTTAGGTGTATGGATTTGCAAAGTGTTGTTTCAAGGAGTGGCTCTATGGTCCTAAAAATCATTGACCGGAGCCGTCAAAGGCAAAGAAAAAGAAAAAAGAAAGGATAATCATCGAAGTACCTCCTGTGATGTGCGAATGTAATGTTAAAGCCAACTACGGCCTAGTCCCTTCAAAGCTTATAATCGGCCATTGGTGCGGCCATATGGTTGACTATGATAAGGTTGGTTATTGTTGTGGAAAACATAAAAACGTATTTTTCTTCTGCAAAGACTTACGATATAATTTTTTGTTTGAACAGAGCACTAAGAAATGCAAGTGGGAATCTTATGATGGTTAAGCTAAGTTCTTGGATGAACTGAAGAGGAAGCAAGTAATTACACGAAAGATGGGGTATGGACCTTAGTACGTCGACCTCTTCGTTAAACAGCGGAAAAAAGACATGTGTGAGTTTGCTAGACAGCGTGGTTTTCGTAACTCGATCGGTGTTAGACTTAACAAATGAGGGTTGGAGATACGAAGGGCGGCAGAGGAGGAGAGGTCAAGGAAGGAGGCAAGAGTACAGATGAAGGTCTTGAACGACTATGTTGTTACATTGTGTGCCTGTGAGTGATCGAAAGCCTTGTTATTTTTGTTGCCTGCTTTTAAATGTAATATAATCGGGTTGCTAACTGTGTAACACCTCTGGTGTTACGAGCTCACTAAGCATTGAGATTATGGCCTGAGAGATAGATCTAATAATATAGTGAGTTCATTTACTTGGCGTAAAGAGATGGTGATGAAAACTCCTAACAAAAAGAATAGAATGAGTTATGTTAATTGTTGGCATGAAAATAATTTCTATGAACAACGACCAATTATAACAGGAGTATAGTGTGGAAATAAAGATTTGACGGCAAGTTACGTAGCTGAGCATGTAATTTTAAATCTTGGAGAATAATAATATAAGCTAGTATTTTTGGGAAGCTCGGAAATCAAATTGAAATTAAATCCACTCTTCACGGTTAAGTCGGCAAACAAACGATTTAAGTTTAAAGTGCTATCTTTGGTAAATTATATAGTGGAACATACTTAAATAGTACTTTAATATTTTGTTCCTACGAGTTAGTACGAAGTATGAACTAGGTCATGGTATATTTGTTAGTTGAAATTAACAAGGCTTGGACCTTTTGGAAATTATGGCAAAAGTGTTAAAAGTTGTAGATCAAACTAAACCCTTAATTTTTCTAAGTGGGAAATGATAGGCAGTGAAGTTTTTGGCAATTAAATCCCAACAAAAATGGAGTAAGCAGTATGTCTATGTTTTTGCACGATCGATTGCCCCGAGACGAGTACATCAGCGTAGTATGAGTAGTTGTGGTGTGGGTAGAACATTGTTCTCACAAAAATTACCCAAAACTCGTCAGAACGCGCTGTGAACTACGTCATGGACGTTCTGTTCGTGAACCCGTGATCGGGCAACGAGCTCATGTTGGCGGGCTTGTATCTTCATCTCTAGTCGCTCTTGGGGTGTAGGGATTACTTCGTTGGCTAGCTGATAGTCCCAATTGCGAGTTGGGATAGCTAGTCGGTCTCGGGTTGGGTTAGGCACAGTTTTTCGTTGGCTTTAAAACTCGTGCACATCACCCTTGTCACTTTCCTGTCCGGACTCACGGTCACAGTGTGCACGCGCGTGGCGGGCGCCGGCTCGGCTGTTGTCGGCCGTGGCTTTTTCCTCGGGCCTGTGCGCGTGTCGTTGCCGTGTGTCGGTCGACGTTGCGGCATGCCCCTCGCCTTCCTGTGCCCTCGTGCTGTCCTGGCCGCACCGTGTCGCTGTGTCGCACGCAGGGCTAGGCCAGTGCCTTAGAGGCCATCGTCGGATCGACGTGGCACTCTTCTCGCCACCCAATCTAGCTATCGTCGAGTCGCTAGCGGTCTTCCCTGCCTTGTCCCATGCATGTCCTTGTCGGGATGTCGTCGCTCCTCTCGTGTCGCGTCGCGCCTTGACTCCGTGCAGCGGCTTGCGCTTCGCTTTGTTTCGCTACCGTAGACATTGTCTGCCCGGATGAGCCATCCCATCCCTGTAGCTCGCGACCGCTCCCTCCAAGCCGCACTGTGAGCTTGTCCTCGCGCGGCGCAGCCGCGCAGCGCCGTTCAGAGCGGTGCTGACGAGCAGCGGGTGTCTCGGGGACTGGTTCCGTGTGAGTATTGGTTTGTTTGGGGTGCTAGATGAAAAATGCGCCTCTTGTGCAATAGTGAGCAAAGGCACCGGGAAATAATTGCGTAGTACGGGGACTTTTCTACAAAAGCGTGGGCACACGCGCGGGCTCCCCTCCACGGGCCGCTTGCTTGGCCGGCCAGCTGCGCGCGTGTCCGCTCCGCGTGGGCCACGTTGGACGGCTGGGCCAAAGTGGTTGCGGGCGGCC